TAAACCGGCTTCCTGAAACAGGGCCCTGATGCTCCACTCAGACCTCGGACTTGATGTCATGCTATCGTTTCTGAATGGTGGGATATTCAGAGGCTTTTGTGTCAGTCAGCAGCGTCACGCACAAAAACCTGCTGTTTCAAACGGCCCCACGCCGTGATGTGGCTGCTGCAGCAACACACAAAACAGCTGCGCACTCTACTCACCTCCAGCACCATCAGCGGGACTGCGCTCTCTTTGATTTTATGCCTGTTCCATCCAGTGACGCGTGCACACGCAAAGCCAGCTCCAGCTACAATTTCTGGTAGAAGCTCCTCCCACTGACGCTGACATCAGCAGTACCAGTCTTCTAATGCAAGTGGGTCCGAACTGAAATCCTCAGTGGAAAAGGGACAACACAGACACTGGAGGACTCACCTGTCTCACACCTGTTGTCACACTGAATGCTGCAGTTTGACAGTGGGGGGAGGGGTCTCGTACAGGTGTGTGCAATCACACAGGTCAGGCTGATGAAGGTGAAGCTCAGCAGCGTGAAGCCTGTAAGTCTTCTGAGGGTGAACGTGAGACAGACATGCTGCTGCTGGTCGTCTGTGTTCTGTCGGTCTACACAGGTGAGACAAGTCTCCCCCCCACCACACACACACACACACACACTGCTGGTTTGTGTTTGTGCAGCCTGATCAGTCACCTGCTAGTAGGACTATTTTTGGATGCAGAGTTTACAACTATTACACCTGAGGGTGTCCTCGAGTGTCCTGAAGACACAGCGACTCCAAAACCGTTTTAAATGGTTTATATGTTTGCTGTGCGTTACAGCTGTTAATATTTTGTTTGCAGCTGGAGGTTCGACACAGATCCAGAATCAGCGGAACCCCACTGTAAATGGAACTGCGCAGGAAAGCTCGCTGTTCTCTGCACGCTTCGGCTTCACAGGTGATCCACGCGTTAACGAGTCCGAGGTTTTTACGTTACACGTGGGAACACGGTGATTATGGAGTGCCAGGACTGCCATAATTAATTAATTAAATACACCATTAAATAATTAATTAAATGTGTGAATAATTAATTAAA